CAAATTATTGCTCTTCCAACGAAGGAAATGCCTAGTAAGGCACAAGTCATCAGCTTTGTGCCGAATTACGTCCCTGCCCTTTGTACACACCCGCCCGTCGCTACTACCGATTGAATGGCTCAGTGAGGCTTCGGACTGGCTCAGGGAGGTTGGCAACGACCGCCCAGAGCCGGAAAGTTGGTCAAAACTTGGTCATTTAGAGGAAGTAAAAGTCGTAAACAAGGTTTCCGTAGGTGAACCTGCGGAAGGATCATTAACGCGCCGTGGGGGGACGGGGCCCGATCGGGTTCCCCGACCCTCTCACCTGGCCACCCTTGTCTATCCTACCTGTTGCTTCGGCGGGCCTGCAGCGATGCTGCCGGGGGGGCTTGGCCTCCCGGGCTCGTGCCCGCCGGGGACACCGTTGAACTTCTGGTTCGGAGCTTTGACGTCTGAGACCCATCATAATCAGTGAAAACTTTCAACAACGGATCTCTTGGTTCCGACATCGATGAAGAACGCAGCGAAATGCGATAAGTAATGTGAATTGCAGAATTCCGTGAATCATCGAATCTTTGAACGCACATTGCGCCCTCTGGTATTCCGGGGGGCATGCCTGTCCGAGCGTCATTTCAACCCTCAAGCGCGGCTTGTGTGTTGGGCCCGCGTCCCCCCATGGACGTGCCCGAAAAGCAGCGGCGGCGTCGCGTTCCGGTGCCCGAGCGTATGGGGCTTCGTCACACGCTCTCAGAGGCCCGGCCGGCCCCGGCCCCCACTCATCGACCCCGGCGGGGGGGAAAGTAAGTCTTCTCTCGACATCTTCCCCTCTTCCGACCAGGTTGACCTCGGATCAGGTAGGGATACCCGCTGAACTTAAGCATATCAATAAGCGGAGGAAAAGAAACCAACAGGGATTGCCTCAGTAACGGCGAGTGAAGCGGCAAGAGCTCAAATTTGAAATCTGGCTCCTTTGGGGCCCGAGTTGTAATTTGTAGAGGATGCTTCGGGCGTGGCCGCGGTCTAAGTCCCCTGGAACGGGGCGTCGCAGAGGGTGAGAATCCCGTCTTCGGCCGGCCGGCCCCGCCCGTGTGAAGCTCCTTCGACGAGTCGAGTTGTTTGGGAATGCAGCTCTAAATGGGTGGTAAATTTCATCTAAAGCTAAATACTGGTCGGAGACCGATAGCGCACAAGTAGAGTGATCGAAAGATGAAAAGCACTTTGAAAAGAGAGTTAAACAGCATGTGAAATTGTTGAAAGGGAATCGCTTTGCGACCAGAGTCGGGTGCGGGGGCTCAGCGGGGCACTTGTTTGCCCGTGAACTCCCCCCGGGGTCGGCCAGCGATGGTTTCGATAGACCGGTAAAGGCCCTCCGGAAAGTTTCGCTTCTCGGGGAGACTTATAGTCAGGGGTGCATTGCGTCAGTTTTGTGTTCTTTTTTACTTTCTTCTTTTTTTTTTTTTTTTG